CAACTATGAAAAATATAAGTAAGTTGCCAAGTGTCCAAATTTTGGTCACATAACCATGGGGATGTTACAATAGTGGTAAGTGTGAAAAATGGTCATAAGTCACTTTTTTCAGTGATGTAACATCAATGGTCACTAAATGAACTGTTGTAAGCACAGGTGGTATTCAGCAGGTTCTGACCAGTTCTGGAGAACCGGTAGCAGAGTAGTTTGGAATACCACCTCTGACTCGCCCCGCCCCCTTCTATTCTCTGCCTCCCAAGTCCCAGCTGATCGGCTGGGTCTTCTTTTGTTGCACTACACAGGAGAATGGAGCTGGAAGGCAGGTTAGTGGGGTGGGGAGGGAATGGGGATTTTGCAGTATCCTTCCCCTGGAGTGGAGAAGGAATGGAGATTTTACAGTATCCTTCCCCTGCGATGCCCACCAAGCCAAGCCATGCCCACAGAACCGGTAGTAAAAAAATGTGAATCCCACCACTGTTGTAAGCCCAAGACTACCTGTACTATCGACTAATTAAGGTCAGAGAGCAGGGCTGGTTAACTTGCAGTTAGCACTCATTAGGGAAGCTCTATGAAAGGAGAAAAACTGCTCACACTGCTATAAAGAAAAGGGAGTCAAGCTATTCTCCAAAGCACCTGAGGGCAGGACAAGAAGCAATGGGTGGAAACTAATCAAGGAGAGAAGCAACTTAGAACTAAGGAGAAATTTCCTGGCATTTACAACAAGTAATCCTTGGAACAAATTGGCTCCAGAAGGTGTGAATGCTGCAACACTGGAAGTTTTTAAGAAGAGATTGGACAATCATTTGTCTGAAAGGGGCTCCTGCCTAAGCAGGGAGTTAGACTAGGAGACCTCCAAGGTTCCTTCCAACTCTTTTATTCTATTATTCATGGACTCCAATTCTACCATGTTGGATTGTCTCCTTCCCACAAACTGTTCCAATCAGGCAGCTAGCACATGCATGTGTCTGCGTGCACAGGTTATGCACCCTTTTAATGTCATTGGGAAAAGATAATTCAGAATGAACAGAAGCGAATGTTTGACATGCCAATTCAGCACCTGTCCATAGCAGCTATCTCTGTCTTTAGACTTCCATATGAGCCTGAAAAAAAATGGGGCTGCTCTATTGAACCACCACAAAGCACATCTGTGTGCATGTGCTTCATAGGCATACATTGTTCTTGTCATCTACAAATGTTAATACTGCGTTTCTGACCCATGAAAAACAAAGCTCCAATAGCAAGAACGTCACACCCAAATGCACAGCAAGAACTCAACACAAAAGTATTCTAGGGTTCACCTAGAATCCAAAAATAAAGCAAGCCTAAATTTCCCACACTTATGCATTAAAGAACACTAAAGCTTTTAGGATTAATTCTGATTTGGGATCATTTTTTCCCCTAGCTTTTGAAATGGGCCTCTAAACTTGTAAAAGCTCTCAGATAAAAGGCTATTTCATCACCATTTTTGCTCACATACACAATTTACTTTTTAATATTTTTCTAATTCTATTTTTGCATTCCTTCCATTTTCTAACAGAGCCATATTTCAGGCAGAATGAATTAACTTGTCATATTCGTCTCAAGTACAATCCAACTTTTCCCCACTGAATCTCAGGAAGCTATTAGATCTGAAGCAAGACATTCTTATTGGCAAACAGTAATAATAATTTTTTAAAAGGAACAGCCCATTTCACACAAAAGTGATTGGGCAGAACAAAATTTGTGTCAGCTTATTGTGCTCAATAATAAGCAGGTGTTTTTTTTAAAGAGAAGTTGGCGATCTGGGTTTGTTTATGGTCAGCAATGGCTGATGTGGCCATATGGCCATCTTAATCATTACCTCTTTCATTTCTGCCCATGTGTATGTTGGATTGCTGGAAAACAGATGTGTATTCTCTAGCTTTAGCTTTGTGCTAGAGAAACGCAATTGGAGGAGGGGAGCCGGTCTTGTCCCATTTGATGAATTGGACCAATATATCCAGATGCTGCAGAGATACTTCTAATTTAGGATAAAATAGTTTCTTCACATTGAATTAAAACCAAGCTATTGGTTTTTTGTCAAAAGAGTCTAGACCACAGGTGTCAAACTGAAGGCCCGGGGGCTAGATCCGGTCCCACTGGGTGCTTAAATCTGGACTGAGGGGCCATCCTGGAAACAGCGAAGGATGGACCTGTGGTGCCTCTGCCAGTGAAAACAGAGCTCAGGAGGGTGGCCCTCCCATGTTCCATTTTCACTGGCAAAGGGTTTCAGGAGGCCGTCGCAGCCGAAAATGGAGCTCTGGAGGAAGAGCGCTCAGCCACCACAGGCACACACACCCCCCCAAAATTGGCACCCTCAAGCTGGCCATGCCCACCCTCCTCCCCCCCCCCCCACCCCCACCCCCCCGAGGTCAAACACAATCCTGAGGTGGCCCTCAATGAAATAGAGTTTGACATTCCTGGTCTAGACAATTCTATAAAGCAATCAGACAAGCGTTAGGGAAGGAGGCAAGTGCTAAGAGCATTGTTCTTCTCCCTAATGCCTTGAAGGAATTCTCTGTTTCATCACAGGCCTTCTCTAGTCAAAATTTGCCTGGGTTTTGCAGCAGGTATGTACAGAATTTTGCAATCAAAAGTGTGTCCCGCAAATTAAAACTCTACTTGACTGCAAATCCTTTTCCTAGGCATATAATTGGTCTTTGGTGAGCTTCTGATTTTATCATAGACCTATTTGGCATTTGGAAACTAAAAAATGGGACAGTGTGTATGAGGCCAGTGGTACAATTAGAGTAGAGCAGGAAGAAGAAAAAAATAATAGCAAGGACGATTATTAGACCATAGGCTCAGCAAACACAATAGTACAGATATTGGATTTTTTGCTGTTGTTTTCTGGGGGAAACACCTATTGTTTTCCTATTGCACCTATTGTTTTCTGGGGAAGCTAGGTGGTTGAGCCCTTTGTGTAACCCTAAGCCATGTCTCTCCATGATCCAGCCTTAGTTATACTATAGTATGAGACCTTATTCCTTCTCTACACAATTCAGCCCACACCATTGCTCATCAACTTGAAAAGGTGCATTAAAAGTATGTCTGTGCCACTCCCTTAGTATTGGTCTCAGCTTCAGTGTGGATGATCAAGCCCTGATAAGCATGGTGCACCTTAGGTTAAGGGTGTTTGTGTATTTGTGCCCTTCTTACCTTGTATGAGGTTTTAGAGGGAGCAGAATGAGCCCATTGCCCTATTTCCCATTTCAGAGTTTTGCTATCGTATTGCTGCTATTTGTTGGTCTGGTTGATTATCAGATCATCTATGTTGTGGGTACTTGCTGTGATAGGAACATAACTCCAGGTTTGCCAAGCTACTGGATTGGGAGGAATTCCTTGAGGGAAGCAGTATTTCTTTCATTTCTATTTGTGGGTGGTTAAGCACTTACTAATACCAAATTGCAAAATGCAAATGACTATCCTTCATCTAGCCCTCTCAGCAGATTATCGAATCAGATGCAGTATTATCTTCTCACTTCAAAGGAAACAAAAACTAGCTACTCACACATTCTCATGCACTTAAATCAACTTGGATCATCCAATGGCAGCTTAAGGCATTCTAGTGACACCCCAACACTTCAGCTTTTAGAGAAGAGAAGCTTTATTTTCTGGCAATGTTGTTCAGAGGCCAAATCCTCCCAACCATGCCATAAGCACAGCTGGTTTACCCCACTCCCCTGCCATGGATGAAAAAATAGATCAGAGAATGGGTATCCTTGTACCACAAGACACTTGGGATAAAGTGAGAGGAATCCTTAGTATTCAAATGCAGCAACTTTTTGGATTGTGAGAGAGCAAGCAGTCATGTTTCTCATTTTGCAGGTGCCATTTTCTGGAGATGAAAGTGCCAAAGAATGAAAAGAGGGGAATCCTAGGCATGTGATATAGCAAAGGAACTGTCAGCTGATAATGTGATTGTGTAAGAGACATGAAGCATGAGGATCTTTGTTGTGGTTCAGGGTTGAAATGAGGGATCCTTGGAGTTCTCTGATCTTATTTGTATTCTTTCAAATGTTTCATTACCCAAACTAGACAACATCACTGGTGCACTGATAGTACTACCTAGTTTGGATAATGAAACATCTACAAGAAAACAACCAAGCGCAAAGAGCACCCAGGACCCTCCATTATGTTCTTACAGCACACTGTTCTTAATGCACAAAGATGCTTTGCATTAATCCCGGGTTTAATTTGGAACAGAATGCGGGCAAATTCATATGTAGCCTTTCTATGGGTAGACTTAATCCTTGTACAAGAAATCCCTTGGTTTCTGGGAAGCTGCTTCTCTGAAATTGTTTTCCATCAAAATCTAATCATATTTTTGTCAATTCTGTCAATTTCATATAGGAGTACTTCAGAACATCTGTAGGACAAAGGAAATACAATCCATGGCAGAGGATTGTCAAGTTCTGAAATAAACACATGCAGCAACTTTAAATTGGACATCATGAATACTGAATTTTGGCTTCATACCACAAGTTTTACTACTGTGGCTTCTATGTCTTCTCAGTAGTTCTCAGGGTTTTGTTTCTATTTTCATAGATTATAGAGACTATTAGGTTTAGAATGTGGGAAAGACAAATATAATAAGAGTGAATTGTTGATACCTAACATGATTGCCCAAGATTATATGTATCCTACTTTTAAAGTAGTCCTTAAAATCAAGTTCAAACATAGGAGTTAAAATAATGTAAGATTCTGAACATTTTCAATGCCTAAAATATTATTGAAATGTGAATTGTTATAACAATGTCAGTTACTTTTAAGGACATCTGTACTATGGATGTGCAGTGGTTTTCAGCAAGTTCATTTGCTGTGGATGCACCTGATAGGCTCATGAAAAATGCTAGGAGCTCTGAGGAGTCTACCTCCATTTCGGCTACATTTTCCAAGGTTCCCACTGTATAAGGACTGAGGTCTCTACTTCTACAGTAGAGTTTTCATGACACAAGTATCAAAAACAGAACACACTGACAGACTCTTGACTGAGGTTTTATTGAGATGCAGATAGTCATACACCCATAAAAGAGAATCAACTCAAAAACTAAACTGAGCAAAGAAGTTTTCAGTGCCACAGAGAAAGAAAGAAAAGGAAAGAAGGAAGGAAGGAAAGAAGGAAAATGGGGCATAATTCAGACAAAGTTAAATCTGTGAAGATTCCACATTATTTTTTCTTAAATGGACATGTTCTCAATAAGTGCTTAATCTTTTTTTCACTGAAATGATAAGGCCCTAAAATAGAACTTAACCCTGGCTTTGTGCACTATAATCAAAAACTTTTCCACTCCTATCTAAACCTGTTCCAGGCCTTCCTCAGTTGACCATGGAGAAAAAGACCAAGAAAAATATCCCAGAGTTTTGGAAATAGGGAAATGGTTCTCCCTGTTGGAGCAACACAGAATCTGTACTCCTATCACTCAACAATGTGTGTATTGATCAATATAAGCACACATACTTGACATAAAGTTCTATGAAGTGAAACTATGTTTGTTATTTTAGTTTATGCAAACATAGCCCGAACATGTTTTGCCTTTGTTATTATGACTGATTGGTTTGGATGAATAGTTGGGCATGAAATGTAATAATGAGTCAAGGACAAAGAATGCAAGATCTAGATATATTCTGAGAAAACAGACACAGTGGTTGTAAGAGACAAAGTTCTTTTCTCTGAAAGATGCCAAGGTTGGGTTGGGTATGCTTGGTGAAGGTCATCAGAAGAATGTTTCTTTGATCCAGCAATGGGCTGTCATTGCATCTGTTACTGGTTACTTCCTGCCTGTACTCATGAAGGAGGAAGAGGAGGAGGTAGTAGTTTTTTTCACAATGGCACTTCCACAGCTAGAGGAATACCCTCCTCCATACCCTCCTCCTACAGAGCCACCACCTATGCTGCATACGCCTCTCCCACTTCCAGAACTGAAGCCACCAAAACCACCAGATGCTCCTCCAAAGCATGATCCTCCTCCGTAGCTACCACCGATTCCTCCACCAGAAGAACTCATGGAAGAGCCTATCACAGCTGGAAGAAAAAAAGAACCAAGATCATTACAAGTTTCATTAAAGCAAACCTTTCCCAGTGATGGTTACAATGGAAACAACCATGATGTTGAATATGGCTGGAAACAGCGAGGAAATTTGATTTGTCCTTAGACATTCTTTCCCAGGAACTTTTCTCCCATCCCCACTGTTGCACTGTATGGCACTGAATGCTGGGCAGCAACAACAGGGACCGAAAGCTATCTCCATGCCATGGAAATGCAAATGGTCCATTGGATATTGGGAATCTCCCTTTTTGACCACATCACAAATGACACCATTTGACAGCATTTTGGCACGGCACCAATTACAGAGACGCAGCTGACCATGCAAAGTGGCGTTCAATGATCCGAAAAGCGGACCCTGCATATACGGGAATGTGCTAGGAAGAAGATTGTTTCTCATGTAAAACTTGACATCTATGCATGAAGCTCAGCTGACACTTTTTGTTCTGTTAAAAAAAGGGGGAGGGGGGGAAAACCACAAACTTGTATCTTGATGTCAGATTTAATGTTTTTAAAATTCACACATAGACATAAAGTTTTCAAACAGCCGTGTTGTAAACATTATATGTGTAAGGGAGTGAGAGTGAGTGAGAGAGAGATTCAGCACCATGACCATAAACACACATGTTGTGTGCTGTCCAGAGACACCTGTGGCAAGATAGATGGCTATATAAACAAACAAAATGTTGTATTTGCGGCAAAGGTCATTACTAGAATCCATGGCCCACAGATGTTGATCACTTAACTATTGCTCCTCTTCATTATTTGTCATGTAGAATGCTATTGGTTGTATTTCATAAATACATGGAGGTCAATTAATTTACCACTCCTGCACTATTGCAAAGTTCTGTAGTTAAATTATTACATTAGCTTTGAATTAGATTCCCCTGCAGACTAGACTTATGATGGGTTTTAGATGAATATGACTATCGTATGATGCTGAACAAAAATCAGCTTTGTTGCCATGCACATGAAAGAAAAAGAGTTTATTCTGGATTTCTCTTTTAATTATGAAAAGTAGATTATGAATAAAAATATAAAACTAGTTTTACTTACAGACGCTCACGGCACTTTGGCACTCTCCAGACATTCTGTGAAGGAGAAGTGGTATTTATAATGTATTAGTAATGGTTATGTTTAATTGGGCAATAAAATGCTTTAAAAATGTAATCAATATGAAGAAATATCTTTAAACTTTGCTAGTACTGTCTTCCACAGAACTACAATGAATGTACTGCAACATCCTTGCTTGGTCATTAAGTTTGTACCTTCTAGGAAATAATTCAAGATTATTATTTTAGTCCTTCCAGTTCAGATAAGCATATTTATCTCATGTTATTCTGCCATGACTCTGAGTGGTTGATAAAAATATTAAAGTCATGTAGATTGTCTCTCCATGCCACTATGATTAAATAAATCCTTATCTCAGTTGGGACATCTACATTTGTAGTACATATTCCCTGTAGGTCAATGTTTCTCAACCTCAGAAGCTTTCAGATATGTGGACTTTGATTCCCAGAATTCTGGGAGTTGGAATCCAGACATCTTAAAGTTGCTGAGGTCGGAAAACATAGATTTAGGTTTAGTCTGTTTTTTTCAACACAATCATCTTGATGCATTCAAAGCATTCAACCAGATTTTTCATAAGAAGAGGACTCAATAAATCTTTCTCTGGGTCTAAAGTTGCATTGATTTCTGAGTGTCATACTGGATCCACACTCCAAAAGGGAACAAACAGGGCCAGGATAAAAAGGAACATGTGCTAGATTTTGTCATAATTTTTTGTCGTTAGCAATAGCAATTGCACTTAGACTTATATTCCGCTTCATAGTGCTTTACAGCAGCACTCTCTGAGTGGTTTAAAAATGTCAACATATTGCCCCCAACAATCTGGGTCTTCACTGTACCAACTTTGGAAGGATGGAAGGCTGAGTCAACCTTGAGCCAATCAAGATCGAATTCTTGGCTATGGGCAGAGTTAGCCTGCAATAGGGGATTCTAACTATTGCTCCTATGTTGTCTCTTGGGGATTTGGAATATTTGTCCATCTATTACATTTCACCCACCTGCTTTCCTCTCCTTCCAGCAATTTCCTGTAAGTAGCAATTTCAATATCAAGTGCCAACTTAACGCTCATCAGCTCCTGGTACTCCTTCAAGAGACGGGCCATCTCTTCCTTAGACTTCTGCAAAGCTTCCTCTAGATGAGAGAGCTTATCTCTGGCATCCTTGATTGCCAACTCGCCACGTTCCTCAGCTTCTGCAATAGAAGCCTGCAGCTTCTCACACTGAAAGATAAAGGAAACTTGTAGAATAGTGAAGATAGCAAAAGTATCTCTTCCTGGGTCCATTTATTTAGTTGTACCCTAAATTGTACCTTGTACCTTGTCTTTATTATTTGTACAAATAACTCAAGGTGGTGAATGTATCTAATACACCTTTGTCCCCCTGTTTTCCCCACAATAACAGTCCTGTGAACTGAGTCTCCCAGCTGGCTTTCATGGTTAAGGTGGGATTTGAATCTATGGCCCCCAACTTTCCAACCTTGTGCCTTAGTTGTCCATCAACTACTAACATAAATACAATTATAACTGTGTCCCTATTCCTCTCTGTCTCTGCTATTTTCTTACAAGCCTGCAGGACACTGGCACCATCAGAAAATATACCATAGTGGTACTCCATAGTCCAAGAGGCTTGTAGGAGAAAACCAGTAGCTAAAATAGGAGATGGTACTTCTAAGGGTCTCTTTTACTATTACCCAAAGGACATCAGTGCCTCCCACTGATAACTCAATTATTGAAGTCATCATGCACTAGGAAACCCATACTGTTGTTTATGGAAAACAAGAACATTGAGGTTGTATCTTCTTGCTTGACACATTTGTTTAATTTTATATTCTGTTCACGCTGTTGCAATTAAAGCATCAACAACACTAGCTCAGGCTAACCAAACGATGTTTTACATATTAGGAAATTCTAAAGAAATTTCCCCTTTCAAGTTAGTCCTACAAAAATATTCTGGCCTTACCTGTCTCTTCACATTTTCTATTTCAGCTCGCATCCTCTGAATTGTCCGGTTCAGCTCAGCAATCTCAGTCTTGGTATTTCGTAGATTGTCACCATATCTCCCAGCTGACACCTGCAGTTCTTCATACTAGCATTCCACACACAAAAAGGGAAGGTTAAGGATCACATCTGAAAACCTTTGGTAGCAAGGCCCAACTAATTAAGGTTTCCCCAAATGCTGTACTATCTTTAGAAAGCTGTCTCCAGAATGGAAGTGATTATAGCAAGTGCACTTTTTCAAACAAGGCTTGTCCACAATACAACTTTCTGAAGTACTGCAGATGGATCATTGGCCAATTTGACAAAAAGACCTTTTGGCATTTTAGTACTTGGCAGCAGAGGGGCATATGCATAGCTTCTACAAATAGGAGTTTGTCTCTGGAAGATGCCTTCAGCCAGACAAACCCATTGACTGACTGAGTAATTATATGTCATCACGTTGGTGCTAGCTCTTAGCATCCACTTAGACTTTCCCCAGGAAGATGCTTCATATCTTTGATAAACCCATGGGCTAATTCAGTATAAGGCAGCCACTCTTTATTGTGTTTCCTAAGAGTGCACAATTTAGTGGTCAAAGCACTCCAAGAGAGCTTATACCAGATTTACTACATATCACATGCCATATCACATACCTCTCTTGACCACTGAGGATTATTCTATATTTGGAAAAGCCTGAAAGGAACAAACACTTGAAAGCTCACCTTGCCCTGATACCAAGATTCCGCTTCTGCCCGGCTCTTCTGGGCAATGTCCTCATATTGAGCTTTAACCTCAGCAATGATGCTATTCAAGTCCAAGTTCCGGTTGTTGTCCATTTGAAGGACAACGGAGGTATCAGAAACACTTTGCTGCATCTGGTTCAGTTCCTGCAAAGGGAATCCGATCAGCTTAATTAATCCAACTTGAACATATCAATTTTCTCCAATTTATTTGTTTCTTTGTTATATCCTGCTTTTAATGTGTCACTTCAAGGTGGTCTACATAATGCTCTTTTCTCCCCACAATAACAATTTCTGTCATGTGTGTAAGGCTGAGAAGAATCAATTGGCCCAAAGTCATCTAGTTGGCTTCCATGCATAACGTCAAGGCAGAACTCATCACCTCCCAGTTTCTATTCCAGCATCTTAACCACTGCATCAAAGCCATTTTCATGTTTGGACTCTGGAAAGTAGGTGTGTATTGATCAGATTTTATGATTCTTATACAAGAGAGTCCACAGTGTGCTCTGCAAATTCCAAAAACTGCCCCCAGTCTCTCAAAACAAGGACTCTATCACGTGCCAAGGTACTTGCATTAGTGATCAGCACATTTACTTACAGCTTCATACAGACACCTCAAGAAGTTGACTTCATCTGTTAGGGAATCCAGTTTTGCCTGCAGTTCCACTTTGTTCATGTAAGCAGCATCTACATCCTAGGAGAAAAGAAAAAAAAACAGAAGATGGTTCAGTCTTCACAACCTGCCTCCAGAAGTTGTGGATGCTCCAACATTGGAGGTTTTTAAGAAGAGAATGGACAACCATTTGTCTGAAATGGCATAGAGTTTCCTATCTGGGCACCAGGTTGGATTAGAGGGTCCCTTTCAATTCTGTTATTCTGTATTCTGTTCTGCACATCTGATATTGAAGATGATGAAAATGATCTTGATTTAAAGAAGGGTATTATTTCTTCTAAAAATAGCAGTTTCAGGATTGAACCACAACACAGGAACCAGGAATGTTGTTCTGTTACATAGCAATTATATTTCTAAGAGCTTGTTGATAAATGGGAGAATGGTAGCAAAAGACTCCCATTTTCTGTTCTTTCTTTTCATGCCTTCCTTCAAAGTGCAATTTTCAGTCTGTCGTGAAACCATCTAGGCCTTTTAACCAAACATCAAAAGCAGCTACAGGGTCTCATCAATCTCAGCTAATAGCTTCTTACTCCTCTTCCCAACTTATTACCTGCTGTGGACATTATTCAAATTCCTAGATGGTATAGTTACTCTTGGTCAGTGCTATTTTCTATTAATCTCTAAAATAGTGAACCTGTTGCTCAGGAAAATCCCATTCTTTTACAAGCAGCAGCATGGAAGTGGATATTATAGGAAACTGATATCGTTGGCACAAGAAATCAGGAAACAGGTTTGTTCAAATTACTACAAGTTTATTCCATGCTACCTCTAAACAAAAATATGAACTACTAATGGTCAAGGCAAATTGGCGGTAGACAGGGGTGGGCTTCTGGGGGTTCACAGGGGTTCAGGAGAGTGCCTAGCTAAGATTCTGTGCAGTTCAGAGACCCCCCAAATCCCACTCCTGGTTGGCCCCGCCCCGCCTGCTCCACCCCTCACAGGACCCCCCTCACAGCCCGTTTTGGATTCAGGTAAGTGCAAGGTGCATGCAGAGGCTCAGGGAGGGTGAAAAATAGGCCTCCCAAAAGTTTTGGAAGGCCGGAAATGGGCTGCTTCTGGCTTCCAGAGAGCCTCCGGAGCTCAGGGAGGCTGTTTTTGTCCTCCAGGAGGTTCAAAGAAAGCCTCTGGAGCCCGGGGAGGGCAAAAACACCCCCCCCCATGGTGCAGGAGGCTTACTAGGCCATGCCCACCATGGCCACACCCACCCAGCAACTGGGCAGAGAACCCGCTGCTAAAATTTTTGAAGCCCTCCTCTGGCAGCAGATAAGAGTCAACGGAATTCTGGAAGGCTGGACTTCAGTCTCTTGTGGGTGCAAAGAGACTCCAAACTGATGAGAAGCTTGATCTCCCTCCCTTGGGCTCAGCCTGGTCATTTCCTACAGATACCATTTTAGAACTTTTTCCCCTCGACTTATAAAGAAGGAGTAGGATTTACTGCAAACATGTTGAAGGCAAGCATAATTTAATGGGAAGGGCACTGAGAGAATATCCTAAAACCTTCAACAAGCTGAGCCAATGGCTACAATCAGTGGCTCTTTAACTCAAACCAATTTTCCTGTTCATCCCTTCATCATTGCAGCTGAAGCACTTACCTTTTTCAAGAGCACAAAATCATTCTCTGCTGCAGTTCGCTTGTTAATCTCTTCTTCATATCTGACAAAGAGAAAGAAAGGTTAAATTTCTCCTTCTGAGTGTCTGATACTATGGTCTCCAATGTATTATCCATTCATCCAAACTTTCCAAACTATTCCAAAAATTCTTTTAAGAATCTTTAAGGTTTCCCTGTCCAGTCATGTCTGACTCTGGGGCACGGTGCTATCTCTGTTTCTTGGCCGAAGGAGCCAGTGTTATCCAAATACATTTTCCATAGTCATGTGGCCAGCATGGCTGTATGCCAAAGGCACATGAACTCTGTTACCTTCCCACTAAAGTGGTACCTATTAATCTAGTCTCATTCACATGCTTTCGAACTGCTAGGTGGGCAGGAGCTGGATAAAGAATGGGAGCTTATCCCATTGCACAGAGCTCAAATCTTGAACCCAGGCTGTCAGCTTTCAGCTGACAAACTCAGCATCTTTAACCACTGAGCCATTGCACCCCCTTGCAAGAATCTATACTTTGAAGTTAATATTAATAAGGACTCAATAGGTGGATAAAAATACAAAATCCAGTCTAAACATCTGTTGGACTGTGTGATGAACCATAATAATAACCTGATTGACCAAACATAATAATTTCATATTTATCCAAGAAATCAAAAACTCTAATTTTTCCATATTTGTGATCCCCTATTTTACTTTTTTTTTTTTTAGATATGGAAAGTGGAATAGGATTAGCCATGGCTTCTAAAATGTCCTCACGATCAAAATGCTTTAAAATCTTTGTGGCATGCAAATGAAAGAAAATGAGAGATCAGTTTACCTTTAACTATTATGTGAATCATTCCACTTATACAGTTGATATTTCTTTATCAAATTTATTCAGGCTTATGGCCATCTAGATGTTAATATTCCTCCAGCATATGCTGCCTGAAGAATTCTGAGTTCTGAAGTCCACACATTTCAAAATTGCCAAGGTTGAGAAACACTGTTCTACATGTTGAAGAACATAGGTTTCCCAAGTTTGGGCAATTGTACAGCATTTATAAATGAAGGTAACATCTATGTTTTGAGCAGTATGAAGCAAAATATGCTATACTAAAAAAAATCTGGAATTCAACCCTATTATATTAGTTTACATTATAAGCATGTTAAAGGAGCAAGCCCTCCCCAATCCTATATACATTCCCTAAAAACTGGACAGCGCGCATCAGCCAAGATGAAAAATGTCTCATCAAACAGATTATTGGTAGGATGTGGTGAATGTAGTCCACACTGATAGATAGATAGATAGATAGATAGATAGATAGATAGATAGATAGAT